TTTGTAGTTGGTATGTATATTTTAATTGAAAAAATCTGCTGCTTATGTTATTTCTTTTGTTATAGCATTTTATAAATTATAATATTGGTGTTAATGTTCACTTTANGAAGTCAAATGTAATACCTTTTAAAACTGTTAGACCCCAAGCCTGTTTTTCAGGTCTCAGGCTCGAAAATGACATTTCCAGAACAAATGACCATAACTACATTTCTAAAAAGGGGGAAATTAATAATATGTAGTTATGGTCATTTGTTCTGGAAATGTCATTTTCGAGCCTGAGACCTGAAAAACAGGCTTGGGGTCTAACAGTTTTAAAAGGTATTACATTTGACTTCAGGATTCCTGCATATACCCTGTGTTATGTCACTTATAGGTAACAGCTGTTATGTCACTTATATGTAACAGCTTTCGAACACGACACAAGGGTTAAAGTGGCCAATTGATTGCTAATGTACTTGCAGGGTTTTAGTTGTATCTTTATTAAAAAAAAAGCCGGAACCGGAATTGTTAAATGTTAATGCAATGATCTGGTCCCGCAGCGATGAACACCAGCCGCTACGCAGAGAGCTACAGGATCCAGACGTACGCAGAGTACATCAAGGGGAGGCAGATCAAGGAGAAGGTGGAACAGACACCCAAAAGTTGGGGAGACGACAGCTGGACCAAACCAAACTACACCCCCGCTACCTCTGCTGGGTTTGGATACCCCAGGTACACCCATGCTGCGTTTTCAACGGCACATTCAGTGGATTTACCCTGGAAGTTCTGCAGTTTTAATGTATATTGATGCCTTTTTTTTTTAATGGTGTTTCTGCTCCAGGAAGCGCAGCGTCAGCCCCGCTATGGGGGAGCCGGGGACCGGAGACGCCGCCATGACGGACGGCTGGAGGGACTACGCCTACCCCGACAGCACGGGCAGCAAGAAGATGAAGACTGATGGTGGGTGACGCACGCTTCCTGCTGCAGTTTGGTAACATGAAGCCGTTTTTCCCAGAAAAGTGTCTTTTTATTTTGTTATTATTTAACCAATTTCGCAACATTTATAAAGGTGACATTACGTTTATTTGAGTAAATACTTTTTACAAAGAGTTTCCACGGGTGCTTGAATCCTTGAAAATGTTGCACTTAAAGGGGGGGAAATCAAGGCTTCTGAAGTGTTAAATGTGTACAGAAAAAGGCACAGTGCACTTGATGTCGAAATTTGAATTTAAACAATATTTATTTTTAGTTAGATAATGGGCTTTATCCTGCTGTCAGCACGTGTTTCTCTTTGTTTTTACGCCACCTGCCTATAAAGTATAAAAGTAATTAACCTTGATCTGTGTCTCAAACTATGCTGTCTTGTGTCCTTTGAATTGAATGTGAAAGTGTGGCCATTCTCTTTATAATAACATCATTAATGCAGACACTTTTATTTAGTTTGTTGTCACTAATGGCGCTTTTCCACTGCCGCGTGTAGCACGGTTTAAGCATGCCGTGCCAAACCTGGCCCGTTTTTGGTTGCGTTTCCACTAGGGGTAGTTCCGGCTAACGGGTGCTTTTTCACAGTTTTTCTGGCCCCATAAAATCGTGGTTCTTTCCCGGCCAACAACCAGGCTGAGTCTAAACTAGAGAGANGCTTGACTAGGTTTTTCCGAGTGGAGGCTGGCTTGACCGCAGTCTAAAACTAGAGAGAGAATCGCTGTCAAAGGGGGCTACAACTACAACAAGATGAACATATTTGACCGTGATTTAATTGTAATACACGTTTCAAAATGATGCCGAAGTAACAACATACTGATACCGGTTAGTAAAAACCATGAATTAATGCTTTGACAAGTCTGCAGACAGACGGCAGGCGAAAAATCTTTTAAAATGCGTGTTTTCTAATGGAGNCAAAGCTTCAATGATTGCCTATAAAAACAACATTAAACATTAAATAATCAGTTGATTCATTTCTTATGGCTCTATCTGCAGCTTTTCCAGAGTCATTTCTTATGATTACATTTTCCCACAGGCCAACAACAGCTTCAAGAAAACTATTTCCCTCAAAGAGAAACCAAACATGCCCTGTTGTCGTGAGAGAGAAAGTGCAGAAGGAAACATCCATTAAACTCAGTGTGCTGCTCTGTGATGCTAGTTCAGATACTTGGCATCTCATCTTGGGTGAAAGGTCATCAATGTTTGGGCTCAGGCTCTGAGCTGAGGAGACCCTCAGGATGGAGTGAAGGTGAGAGTGCAATATACCGGAGGGCCAGATCTAATAGGAATTAGAAACTATCCTGCGGGCCGAAATGAAATCCACAAAGGGCCTGATTTGATGTGATTTGAATCTTCAAACAAATGCAGAACTCTTTGCTGTGAGATCTGTGACTTTAACACTTCATTATTTCTTACCTCGTGTGAGTCCTGTTTTGAACTCTGACCTTTTATAAACGCCAATAGATTCAAAAGTCACTTCATCACTTTGCATTATTATTCGTGTTGTAATCTACCCCGTAGCTCAAACCTTTGAATCTTTGAACTCTAATATTTGTGGACATGTAAACATCATTTAGTCAACGTGTTTTTAGAGCTCTTTAAGCCGAACGAAAGCACCTTGAGATCCGAGTAGCTCGGAGTCAGGAAAGTACTTTCACTTATTTAAGTGTTATTTACACTTCATTTTTACTTCACTTCCATGTCCTGCCCCTCTCTACTTCTACTTCTCTACACTTCAGAAGCCCATGTTGGGTTTTTCCTCCACGGCAGCTTTTTGAGGATGACAATGAATCTTTGAAATTCAAGATTCAATATTCAAGGTTTTATTGTGATTTGTACGGTGTAGGAATGCCAATAACAATCTTAAGTTACAGGCTCCTCCCACAAGAGAAGAGTCTAAATACAAGTCAACTCCTTTTCTCTTTTAACCCCCTTCAGTCACATCCGAAAGGCCAACACTCTTAAATCCTTCAAATACATCTCTCAAAACTCTCACACACACACACACACACACACACACACACACACACACACACACACACACACACACACACACACACACACACACACACACACACGTATTCACTCTGGCTTTCTTACTCTTGTTCGCGCTCCTCGTGCTGGTGGTGTGTGTGTACGGCGACCTTGAGAGCCTTGAAAGGCGCCTCTATAAAATGAATTATTATTATTATTATTAACGCTGATCAATAACTCTCCACTTTACTCGCAGCTGGATGAGGAATACTGTTTATTTATTTTCTGTTTTCTTTGAGCTGTTTGTGTTTCAGTTTTTATGTAAAGCGTCTTTGAGCACCAGGAAAAGCGCTATAAAAACCCAATGTATTATTATGATGATGATGAAGATGATGAAGTTGCAGACGGATGAATGTTCTGGATGTTCTTCACAGAGCTCATGTGTTTAACAGTCTTTCATTTCCTTTGGGATGAGACTGTCTCTGAGTCTGGTGGTTTTACATTAATGTACACAATGTACACAATATCTGTTTTCTTCTATGATTACTGCAGGATTGTATTCTATATTTTATGTAAATACTGCAAAATGTCACTATATTTGTTACTATTTATAATATTTGTTAATGTTGTTATAGCTTTCTTATAATAGTTATCTATCTGTGAGATATCTCTAAATTCAAATTATGTTCTTGTGTACTTGAGTAAATTACTCAGATCTTGTATTTGAGTAAAAGTAGAAGTACTCAGATCTTGTACTTCACTATATTTCACTATATTCTTTATTATTTCGAATATTTGTTTATGTTATTAAAATAGTTTTCTATCTGTGTTTTTAATTATTGTTTGACCTTTATGTATGCACCATGACACCAAGTCAAACTCCTCACGTGTCCCACCTGGTGATAAACCGGATTCTGCGGTAAATTGATTTGTAACAGGTGTTATAACTTCTGTTTTGTTTCACTCACCTTCCTGAAGCACCGCGGCTTCCCTGTTGAACGCACTATTTTCCCGGTACACAGATTGAGGGTACGGGTACTCTGTTTTCGCCACTGGGTATCCCGCGTGCAGGTTGTAGTGATACGCGTAATGGTTCATTTGCTGCCCGGAATAATGCTGCTGTTGCGCCGCCGCAGCCGCGTAAAAATCCTGCGCTCCGCCGTGGAGAGCTCCGTGCCCGCTGTAGAAGCCCAAATCCGGGGAGGAGGACTCCGGGAGGGTCGGGGAATCCTTGGAGGTCGCGATGGAGCTCATGGAGAGGGAAGGATTCTTCTTGTTCTCCTGGAAGGAAGGAGAGGAGAGCGCGTTCATGTCGCTGCGCGGCGCGGAAAGTCTGGCGGCTCCAGGGCGCAGCAGCCGGGTTCCAGAGCTCCAGGAGGATAATTACAGGGCGAGCCGAGCCAAGCCGGGCCGGGCAGGACGGAGGAGGCTTCTGATTGGCTGTCACCACACCCCCCTGCCCTGAGGACACCCTGTCTGTCGCCGCTCTGACTCGCTGCTCCTCCCGCAGAAACCTCAGAGACTGAGAGGGGGAGAAGTATTCTGTGTTTCGGTAACAGTTATTGTACAAGTACAAGATCTGAGTACTTCTACTTTCACTCAAGTACAAGATCTGAGTACTTCTACTTTCACTCAAGTACAAGACCTGAGTACTTCTACTTTTACTCAAGTACAAGATCTGAGTACTTCTACTTTTACTCTAGTACAAGACCTGAGTACTTCTACTTTTACTCAAGTACAAGATCTGAGTACTTCTACTTTTATTCTAGTACAAGATCTGAGTACTTCTACTTTTACTCTAGTACAAGATCAGAGTACTTCTACTTTGACTCAAGTACAACATCAGAGTACTTCTCCCACCTCTGCCCTGTTGTGTTATGTGCAGTCTCTCTGTACTGTACGCGTGTTGAAGCCTATAAACAATGTGCTGATGTGGGGAAATGGTCGCTCTGGTGTGTGTCTGCAGCCTCTTTGTGTCTCTGGATCTGAACTACATCACTAGAGTTTTAGGCCTCGTGGTAAAACCGCTCAAACAGCCTGAACTCACTCAGTGTTCACCTCATAACCGGCAGCCAACACTCACAGAGACAGAGAGTTTTATTTATACGAGAGCGTCTTTAACCCATCAAATGTGGTTCATTCACAGCGTCAGCCTGTTATCTGCTAATGCTTCTGCCAGACAGGTATTAAAGCTAATTAGGTTTACGCTTAGTTTATTCTGCTGAAATTAAGGATGGCAACTTGAACGTGTAAGAAATTAACTGTGGGGGATATCCTGATTAAAGCTCACAGTAAAATAAATAAAAATTATTTAATATAACTTTAATATAATTAGAAGCAGAGGTTATAATTAAAATATGACTGTTATCAGTATGAGATGGGGAGTCTATCATATTGTCAACAATGTAGATGTAAATATTTGTTGAGTTCAAATTGTGACATCGTATATAGTACATCTATTAAAAATGAAATTAATAACAAATATAAGGGTTTGGGGTGATGCCCTTCAAAATGAAATCTGCCTTAAAGATGGTATAAATAGCTATAATAACATTTTTGAGTTATTATAATTATTGACTAACTAAATTGAGATTATTTGTATGTTTGCAAACAACGAATAAGTATAAAAAAAGCAAAATAAAAGCAAAATACACGTCCAAAAAGTTGTAGAAAGAAGGTACACAATTATATGTATGAACTACTACCCCTTCTCCATTACAATTAACTTCATATTTGTTCATATACACTTAATATTCATCATGTATAATACATATGAAAAGGCATATTATAGCCTGAAAATGTTAATTCCATTATATTTTAATAGTGGGTGACTGCAATAAAGTTTTAGAGAAACAAATGTTGACTTAAATGTCAGTATCATTTAAAGATCTAGGAGACTATAATGTTATACATGGGAAAACCAACAAGAAATACAAAATGAGCAGAAGTTATAATGTACTAAATGTCCTGCATGAAACCAGCCCGCCAGCACAGCTCTTAAAAATTCACATTGGTCAAAGTCAAGTATCTCGCTCCTCAAAGTCCTCATCTGTTCACTGCCATGCATGGTTTGTCCCTGAAGGTAAACAACGCCTGTACACAGAAATAACATCGAGTGCCTGCTCTCACGGTATAAATAGCCTCAGGATTCTACAACTACATGAGGTCAGAGCGATCAGGCAAAGGGCAGAGTTGAAGCCATGCAAACTGTTCAAATGAATACATATTACAAAGCCTGATTATAGGAGACATGATAGGGAATGACCGTAGCAAGAGGCGCTTTCACACCGGAGTACTTTTCCCGTTTAGTTCCGTTAGTGCCTGGAATTTTGCGTTCACACCAAAAAGAAAACTTAGTTCAGAGAACTTTTACCCCCATTTTTAGTGCCTGCTAGAGAGGTGGGACTATCCTGGGGAGAAAAAGGTACCAATTTCAATTGGCTGGGCGAATTGCAAACCACGCCCCGTAAAACTGGGAAAAGTTTTGTGAAGCCGCCATTGTATTTGCTGGCATTAGCATTAGCATTATTAGCATTAGCCCAGCGCACCAACGGAGAGAGAATAACTTATGGCAACACAAAAAAAAACATGGGAGCGGTGGAGTGAGGAGGTGTTGGCGTTCTGGCGATTTACGGGGACTTCCGGCCGGGGACTTCGGGCGGCAGTATACGCCGTGAAGTTGTTTGCGGCCTGCCAGTAAACCCAAAGCAGAAGAAGAAGAAGTGACGTCAGCGGCTTCATTTGCGTAATCTTCCCTCAGGGAACTTATTCCGGTGTGAACGCGATCTGTACTTAGTTCCATGGGAGTACTACGTGCTGGCACTAAGTGCTGGGCACTAAGTACGGCAAAGTACGGTGTGAAAGCGGAACTAGATACTTTTTTGTAAAAGTTAATCTGATTCTTCTGGAAATCAATCAATCAATCAATCAATCAATCAATCAATCAATGTTTATTTATATAGCCCAATATCACAAATGTTACATTTGTCTCAGTGGACTTCACAGTTTGTACAGAATATCAGTTTGACAATACGACACCCTCTGTCCTTAGACCCTC